CTCATAATTTTACAGGCCACATCAGAGGGCTCCCTACGATGCCTGCCGCCTAAAAACGTTTTATGGTCATGTATGGATCCGCAGACGCAAACCACTACTCCCAAGACCTCCGCCAGCAACTCAGCGCCCGTCATCGCCGCAACCCGCACCACAGCGTACATCGATACACCAGACGCCCCACCTCGGCCCGCCGCCAAAATTGCAGCGCCCGTCAACGCCGCAACCTCCACCGCGGCTAACTTCGCCACCGCAGCCAGTACACTAGTACAGTCACCGTCGTCTCCACGTATACAACATCTTAATTGTAATAGTTCCTCCAATTTAGATATAAGCGCTGGTTAAACCTTGAAATTTAGAGTGATAGGAGAAGAAACTAGGGATCTGCCTAATTTGGAAGCAGGCCTTTTATGCATGAATTTCCTTCTCAATGAGCCTCCAACAGAGCTTTCATCAGGTTCTGAAACTTATAGTCCATGGTTGCACCACACTTAAGGGGAGCCAGACACTTGAAAATTGAAATTTTTTTTTTTTTTTTTTTTTTTTATTTTCTGGCTAATCTTAATCTCCAACTCCTCACGTTTAATTTCAGACCAAGTTTTACTTGATCTGATGAGTAGTTTTGAAGTTACGCGCGTTTTAGTGAAGGAAGGTTTGCAGTTTTTGTCAAAATTACACTAAAACTACATTTTTCAGCACTCATGTACCTTTTTCTCAGGATCTACTGAACCGATTTTCAAAAACTTTGTTTTGTTTTAATCCTTGCACTCTCCTGCACATTTTAACACGAGCTTTTTCAAAATTTCGAACTAGATTTTTCTAAATTTGATTTCAAATGTCCAAATTCTATGATTTCTAACAAAAAATTTTCAAAAATTCACCAAAATTTCAAATTTTTAAATTTCAAAAAAAGCCCGAGTTAAAATGTTCGGGAGGGTTCAAAGTTCAAAACAAAAAAAAAAGAGAAGTAATTTTTGTTCAGTAAATCCTGAGAAAAAGGTACAAACGTTAACATTGGGAAGATAGGGTGTCTGGCTCCCCTTGAGCACAACTCATCCAGTATTGTCTTGTGAGAGGGCCTGTCCGCCCTCAAGACAGAAAACAGCTTGAAATTTTCAGTTCCATTACAGGGAACAAACCATTTCTCATAACACCTAGACGTGGTGATCGACTAACACCTGAGGTAGCGTTTCAACGTCTGGAAAAAATTCTAAATTCTAATGAAGAATTCTTGCTTGGTGGCCCGTTGAGAATCAGATTTTGCATTAAAAGGTCTCTCGTGGGGTTTGATAGGATACCTATTGGTTCAAGTCTGGCAATGAGTCATGACAAATTTGTTTCAAACAAAAGAGGCATTCTTTATATTCCAAATAATGATGGGCTTTGCCTTGCACGAGCAATAGTAGTGGGCAGGGCCCATGCTCATGGATTACACATTCCTGAGGCAATGCAGGAATTCACTTGGCTTTCCAGGTCTAAAAGGGATGGGCAAGAACGAGCAGCTTTACAGTTGTGTGACATTGCAGGGATAAATTTGACATTCGGAGGAAGTATCGATGAAGTAGGATATTTTCAGGATGTATTGCTGGATTACACCCTTACAGTATTCGACGATAGACGGGGCACAAGCATTGCATTTGAAGGGCCGCCATCCACCGATGCTCAATCCCCGACGACATATCGATCTATTCTATGAGGATGGTCATTTTGTGACAATCTCAAATTTAAAAGGTCTCCTGTCAAATCACTATTGTAGACAGTGTTGTGGTGATATGGATAAACGGCAACATTCACTCTTCACTTTCACTTCTCTCTTTCAGCGCACTTCTTTTATAAACTTTATCAGTCATGTTTATCAAGATATTATGAAACTTTTTCTTACCGAATTTTTTCTAATTTTCATGATTTTACTTTTCCGCTACGGCCGTTTCCAGCCCCCAAGTAGCAGTGATCGCGATCAATAGCGATTTTATCGGTTGATTATCGCGATTATATCGGTGGCAATTTATCGCAATATTACCGAATAAAAATTTGCGATTTATGGCGATTAAATCGCTATGCATCGCAATTTTTGTTCGATAAAATCGCGATCAATTTTCGTCGATAAAATCGAGATTAAATCGCCATATACCGTGATTTTTGTTTCGATAATATCGCGATAAATTGCCGGGCGATAAAATCGCGATTTGATTGCAACGAGATCGAGAATAATCGCTCAGATGTTGATGATCCTAGCGATTTTATCGCGATTTTTCCGTTGAAAAATGCTACTTGGGCAACCGCTCATCGTCAGTTGTTTAAAAAACTCTAAAAAACCAAAATCAAAATACGCTCAGTTACACCGCGAACGCAGACGCGGAGACCGAAAGTAACTAAACGCGATCGCGATTTTATGATTTTTGTTTTGAAAAAGTAAAAGCATCAAAATTTGGAAAAATCGGCAAGAAAAAGTTTCATAATATCCTGAAAAAATGTGTTCCGGCATTAGCCCCTGAAGTGGGTCCTATTGAACCTTCCGACTGGGAGAAGGCGGAAAAAGAATACAAGGATTCTATTCTTAAAATCCGAGCAGAAAAATCTCTGAAATTCCGTGTGATTGAAAAATTATGTGTAAAATCGTTTAAGCGCTCAACAAAAAATTCAACCCGAAGAACCATTACCAAGAACGATAGAACCACCATTACCACTGAAGAACCGTATTCTCCAGCTTCAGCTGAAACCATTTTTACTGGAGAAAAGTTAACTTTAGAGCCAAATTGTAACAAAATATCATCTCTTTTATGGTTTTCCCACCATCCTAACAGACGTTTTGGTGCGTGTCAAAATCCATAAACTTGTAAATCTTGCCTGGAAACCCTTAATGCTTTAATAAAAATGAAAGTCCTTCCTTCGTGGTTGTGTTTCCACGATTATTTACCATTCCCTGTAGCACATAAAGACCCTCAAAGATGCTAGTTGTTATCAGCACTTTTGTCTTATTGAGTTTGATCATCATCTCACCTAACTCGAGTCCACCGTTGCACTAGAGTTTGACAACCTGTTCGACATGCATCTTCTGTAAAAACACAGACAACGACAATGTAAATACCCAAACTCTTACTGTAAATTCCAAAAATCCCTAATGTACATACGACCTTCTGGGATGGATTTGCTGGTACTGACCGCGAAGGAGGCAGGGGAAGGCGGAGATGGAAATGCTGGCAAAATTTGTGCAAAAACTATGGCGCAGCGCACACATCGCAACCCTGGGGTTTCCGGTGAGATGGAAATGGTCAAGGCGATTACTTATCAACTACGAATTGGATTTTTGAAATATTCGCTAAAGCTTGTCCGAAATTCAGCCATGTTTCAGCCTCCGAGACAACTCGCATCTTCTTTCTTTCTTTTTTTTTTTTAAAAACATAAGTTCCTCAATGAACAATCATTCAATTCCTAAGTCTTCTGAAACAAACCACATTCATTCAAGCTTTTTTATGTTTTCATATTCCATACTCTGCCACATTGTTCATATTGTGTGTGTGTGTTTATTTCATGTCATTGTGTCCATTCATGTCATTATATTTTTCATCATACATACTGACTTTTTCCATACCATCCTTTATCACCAGGAGTATAGATCTCCTGGGGTCACTAGAACAAGCACTTAATAAACCACTACTAAATTTGGCATGCCGTCACCATATTCGAGAAAAAATCTTGGAAAGTGCAATAAAAACATGTATCAAAGTTAGGAATCAATCGGAAATCCCAGTTTTTCGTACATTCAATATAGAATATTGATCTAACACAATATAAAACTGATGCAGATGATGATGCTGTCTCAAATATTTTGAAACCTGAAAAGAATGAAATTATCAATTTTGTACTCGAACAGTTGACAAGATTGAAGAGGAACTCAAAGCCGTCAAACATGACATTTCTACACTACAATCTAGCTCTCAACTCCAAGGTAACTCTAGTGCTATGCCTCACTTAGATGAAGAAGTAATTTCTACCATTATTGAAAGAGAAATAGCAGTGGCTAAGGCAGATATCAGGGAAGAAATAAAACAATCCAAAGCTCATACCAGCTTCCCTTCAGCTAAAAATGAGGATTCTATCATTAATGAGGTTTTAGAAAGACAGCGTAGATCTACCAAAATCATTGTCTTTAATTTAAGTAATGATTCTAACCTGGAGACTGATCTCTTATTTGTAAAAGACTTACTAGCCCCTAGTCAACTCGACCCCCCTAAAATAAGGGTACCTAGAATAGGTATTAAGGGCAAAAACAAGGATAAAATTAGGCCTCTTAAAGTAGAACTGTTTTTACTAACATACATAAGGATAAAAAACAAGTATACTACCTAAATTTGCTAAAACCATGTGTTGCAGATTCCGAGAGTGAGGAAGAAGAGCAAACATGAAAGGACATTTCTTTGTAGGCATCCCCACCCTCGGATTTCTAGCTGGAATACTGTGCAATCCACTCTACAACATAACTCCCATCTCACACCAGTCTGGAATTTTTTTCATAATTTCAGTTCAGCAAAAATTTCCAATGATCAATTCACTTTATTGTCTTTAACAAATGTGTCTTTTCATACCGAAAAATTTAATGTAATTAACAGTGTTGCCAGGAGATGTGATAACGTGTATGGACATGTCACCCAGGAAAAGCATATCGATTTACATTGTAATACTAGCATCAAAGAAATTCAGCAATCAGTAGAAACTTTACAGGGTAAATTGGAAACAATTAAGCACCTGTTAGGGCATAATTTCCACGAGAGTAGGAAAAGACGCGATCTATTCGACGGAGTAAGTTATGTGACAAATTGGCTTTTCAGTATACCAGGCGCCAGGGACGCTCAGTTTTATTCAGAATCCATTTCCACCCTATTGGATAACAACAAGGAAACCCAAACATTGATGAGCACACAGGTTAATTTAATTTCTGATACCATTAAGAATTACATCTTAAGTACCAAATCTTTAAAGGATGCAGAGGAAACACTCAACGCTAATGTACAAATTTTTAATGACGAAATTTTAAGAACTAAGGCTAACATAACATCTCTAGGAATTCAGAGTATAATTTTATGTCAATTGAACTTGCTCAATATTCTGATTTTGGCCATCGCTCCGGTCACGACTACGGTTCAGGACGGCTCCTACATAGCCTCATGCTGTTAGTTTTAGTATATTTACCTCGCTCACTGTGGACCATACTCGCTGATTGATTGACTTATGTATATTCGTCAAATGATTAAAAAGTTGAAGTGCCTTCATTTCTTTGATTAATTGTCACAGCAAACGAAATGAAACACTCAGAAAATCCCTTGAATAATCTCATAATGTAAGCCTATTATATTCTCAATTCTTGAAAGCCAACAAACAACTACAAATTAATTTTTATTCACAATTTTTCCATTGAAAATTCCATCAGAAATATCGATTATCTCGATTAATATGAAAGAAGACATTGACGAGGATGGTAGAGTTTTATTGGAAAATTTGTATCCAAAGAAATCTGTTAAGATGTCAATGAGCACCAACTCATTGCAAGGGAAAGCATCACTGGGCCATTTCCTCAGGCTGCTACTGGAGAGAGAGCAAATATTAATGTCCGTAACGTTATGATCGACTCTAACGACTCGTCGCCGGGGTTCGAAAAAATTATAGATCTGAAGAGGGGGTAAGAGGAAAGGCTCCTTGTTTGCAGTGATTCACAGAAAACGAAAGCGTGTACACTGAAAAGAGTAAAGAATGGCATTGATGTGGCAAGAGAAAAAGGTCTTGAAATCAGAGGCATGGTGGCGGACGCCATGGCACAAGAGAGGGAAAAGATATGGAATCCTCACTTGATTGGAATACTAACCAAAAATCCTTCTCTGGGATTTACAGGGACTTTCAGCTGAAAAGACCTTTTTAGGCGTATAATTCATTAAGCCTAACTATAGGTGTGCAATGATTGGATAAATCAAAAAATATACCTTAGATGCTTTGTTTACCGGACTAGTGTACTGTACAAAGATGATGAGTTATAATAGGCATTGATAATGTACTTTCTTCAACGGCTATGGTATCAACCTCAAATATTAGGACATTGAAGGTCCATCTTAAAAATTGAATATTCAGAGCTACAAAAACAGTTTGACAGTGAGATATTCTACTACTATAAATAAAACTGACTTGATAGTTTAATTAAAATTTGCAAGAGATGAATGAAAATGTGAGCTAAACAATTGCGGTGATTTAGTGGGCAGAAAACACTTATGATGAGGTACTTTTATGTGCAACGAACAACTGAGTCCATGTTTAGCTGTTGACATAGAAAGTTACTGCAAGTCTTAAGAAGCTGGACCTTCTTTTTTTGTGGATGGGGGGGGGGGGGGGGGGAGGTCTATAAAAACATCAATTTTATCTTTCCTTTCAAAAATTCTTATCAGCAGGAACCAATGAGTGAAGGTCATTTTGCGACAACATCAGAGGCTGATGTTGGGATTTTAGTGATGGAACTGAATAATTGGTCCATGAGTACCTAAAAATCCTTGATTTGAGTAACTTTTTAATAAAAAGTTGTATAAAGGGTTACAATGCTCTTAAAAACTTTACTATTTTGCTTGAAATTTGGGGAAAATTAAATGCACTAATCCTGAAGGTAATAATTCACTTGTTGAAACAGCCACATTAGTGTATTAAAATGGTCATTTGCAGAAGATAAGCTATGTCATGCAATTTCATAGGCATTGCAAATCCTGCGTGTCATTACATCAGAAAGTTAACAAATTTCACAGAATCATATTACTTTGAGCCGCTCTTTATTTGCATTGAAGTAGTAATTTATTTGAAGTGTCCAACAACTGGTGGTATCAATACAGCTGTTGCACATACACATAAGTTGGCTTATTTGGTGCCTTTTGTCCATAAATGACTGTTTTAACTTCGATTGACTTACCCACTTGGTAGCTCAAATTTAGAGAGATACTGGCAGAAAACATGGAATTGTCACGTTCCCTCCCACCAAGATAAAACTCCTAGACCTGGCTCACTGATGCTTCCCTGAAACAAAAGAGCACCTGAAGTAAAAAACTGAGTTTGATCTAGAGGAACAACCTCAAAGTTCGCAAAAAAAGCTTTGCAAGAGTACATCCTTGAGATTCGTGCACTCATTTGATTGATCAACCTGACAGCAATAGAATTACATTGGGAATACTTGCAGCAGTCACCATGGTAAGGTTCTTTCCCAAATCGTCAAAATAGAAAAATGAAATCACTAAATCAGAATGATTTTAGTCAAAAATTTATCTTTTGAGGCCAATAAAAATGATTCTTTTCTGGAAAAGATTTAATTACGAATACAAATTTAGATCTTGAGACTGCTAACATGACTCTCTGGCTCAACTGAACTGTAGTGTAATGAGTAGTGGATTGATGTCTTCCCCATCATTTGAGCTTACCTAAAGTTCAAAGCGGTTTAGAGGGGCGGGGGAGGGGAATAGAGGTTACTTCTTATGAGAAAAAAACTACTAAGAAGTGGCCCGAATACTGTATGTAACAAGGTGGAGAAATGGTGCTGGGTCCACACCATTTCACAGGGAAATCAAAGCCAAGAAGTTCCAAAAATTATTATTAGAGTCAAAAATAAATTTTTTTAAATGTACTGTTGTCCCCCCCCCCTTCAGTTTTGTACTGGTACTAATTAGAGTTAAAAAAATGTATTTATGACTCTAATAATGATTTTTGGAACTTCTTGGCTCTGATTACCCCACGAAATGGTGTGAGCCCAGCACCATTTCTCCACCTTGGTTGCTTCTCATTTTAGTCACTTTTTGCTAAACAGGAATTAGTGTAAAATGTTTTATTTTTGAACATTTTGGAAAAGTAGCGAATGTCTTTAGTTCGCAGGAATTTCCTAAGATTGTTTTGCAGGACATTACTTCATGAAAAGTGAGTTCAGAGTTGTGCATTATGAGTTCCCATTGAAAAGTGCAATGCCGAGAAAGTCAAAATGGTATCTGAAGTCCCTCTCACACTTTTCTGACTATTCGATCTCTCTGGTGCAATTTAAGGTCCATGCAACCGCTATCAATGGACAGCTGAACAGTCATAAACTGCAGCAGAAGCACCGCTTGATCAAGAGTGTATCCGCAGCCATGAAGGAGGGATATTTTTTGACGCTATCTTTGCCATGTATGTTTGGATGGGAGCACAAAATGTACAACTTTAAACTTGTTTTTGTCACGATCTCACTACTGCTGATGCATGCATTCCTATGGAATATCCTTTTGAATATTTCGTAACTTACACCAATATTTGAACATAATAATCTGTGGTCAAATAAGTTCCAAATTAGAGGATTGAAGGGTCAAACTTGAATTGAATATCAGGAAAAATATTTTAACTCAAATTTTTGAGATTTTCGAGAATTTACCTTGCCTTATTTGTAATTCATGCCATTATTTTTTTTTTTGGATGATACAATAACGATGTACTTAGTGTCCTAGCTTAAAAATCATAAAGCAGGAGAAAAGAAGATAAATTGAGAGGCAACTTACAATTATAGAGTAAGGTACTTTCGATTCAGGTTCAGTTGAGACCTCCATTTTCTCTGGGCAAGTAACAGGAGACGTTTCTACGAACACTTCTGTAACCACTCTGAATCTAATGCTTTCACCTACATATAGGAAAAAAAAAATTATGTAACTGGGGGCATTGCATAATACACAATAATCTTAAAAATTATTTTACGAAAATCCAGCTAATAATACTGACATGCCTTTGAAATAATTTATGCTGACTCTAGTGGACTTGCTGTCAGCATTGAATATACTAAAACCAGGCGCTGAAATCCACTGAAAGATTAAACTAGAAACAACATCAGGAGGCCCTCTAAGGCCACAGTGTAGCTCAGTCTTTCCCATAACCACTCTGAACCTTTAACAAGCAGCTTTGTGGCAGTAAAAGAACACTGTATTGAGAGTAACCAAGACTCCTTCAGAAAAAATAAAAATTTAAAAAAAAAAAAACGCCTATGAAGTCTTCTACACTAGCTACAAACGCTAGCCATTTATTATTAATTACATCAAGCAACAACTAGACGCAGAAGTGACAGAGCAAAGTTGGATGTTGGACAGTCGGCTCTGTATCTAAACCAGAATAATTTTGTTTTTTTGATTTGTTCTTTTTTGAATGATTGCCCATTTGGGACAGAAAAGTCTTTGGAGAGATCGAATTAAGCCATGATAATTCTTCACACCTCAGGACAGAACTTTTCAGGAGACAAGCGTCTCTAAATTAACTATCAACAGTGATACAACGTCTAGGAATTGTACATGATTAGGCAATTTTAGCATCTTCGGTAGCATTATGAAGTTTGTCAACCAACAACAAGAAAATATTTGGGGGATCAAACTGAGATTCAACATGACGATTTCTCAGGTTTAAGGAAAATGTCTTTTCTGGGAAAGGTGTTTTAAAGTCAATGAGTAAGTGGCAAGGAATTTTTGTAAGGTTGCGGTACAGTGTTTCATACGTAAAGTTTTGTGATAAGACCTAAAAATTCATGAAAAAGTTAAAAAAATCATTTTACGGGGAGAAAAAGCTAATCAAAATCCGACCAATCAAAAGCCAACAGTTGAGTTAACCTGACAAGACAATGCCTGAATATGAGATCAGGCAATCAGCATATACCGCTCTCTCTTTCTGGCTACATCATCAGTGCCAGCTGAAAATATATTTCAAACAAGTCGAATTTTTGGTATTTTCAAAACGTGGTATCTTTGCCATTTTACATGGAGAAAAAGCTAATCAAAATCCGATCAATCAAAAGCCGACAGTTGAGTTAACCTGACAAGACGATGCCTGAATATGAGATCAGCCAATCAGCATATACCGCTCTCCCTTTCTGGCTACATCATCAGTGCCAGCTGAAAATATGTTTCAAACAAGTCGAATTTTTGGTATTTTCAAAACGTGGTATCTTTGCCATTTAGTGTTTAAAAAAATCTAAAAAAAAATCTTAGGAGCTTAGTTCACTCTGTGCTTTCCACAAATGAATTTAAAAAAAGTGGGTGCCACTGACCCATTATTAACAGACATATGATGTTTTTGAAACATGAAGGCGGGCCAATTTCTGTGGTTTTGGAAGGACTAATAATTCTTCTATGGCCGAGGCGAAACAAACTCAAACAGGCTGAAATTTAGCAAGGTGAATATTGAGGTTCTAAAGGTGTTCATTTATGTTCAATAGAAAAAAATATGTACCACAAGTAACCTGTGATATCCTGTTAAAAGCATCTACTGGTAAAATTGTACTACTTTGTTGAAAATATGAGAGAGGACTTGTCCCAAAAAAGTAAAGGTAGGTATCACATTAAGTAAACACGTTGTTTTTTATACAAGGTTTCATGGGCTGAAATTTTCCAAATTCTTTCTTGATACAAACACAAAGTATTTTGGTAAATTTCAACAAATAAAACCTTCAAGTACAATCATGCAAAAAAAAAAAAAATACTTTAAAAAATTTCACAGATAAAACCTTGCGAATATTGGCATTTACTGATGAATCATTTCTTACGAAGTTTTAATTGGGCAGCATGACTCAATTGTATAATTGTATATGTTCATGATTGCATTTGAATATTTCAAAATAGATGGCTCACCTGGAGACAATAGCCTCTTAGTGTCTTAGTACATGGGAAATTGGCTCAAGTGATCTCCAGATGTGTTAGATTGGGCATTTTCTACACTCCTGCCAAGATGTTCAGTGTTTCATCATGCTTTCTTGCAGTGATATGTACCTTGCAGCAATACTAAAGCCTACTCATGATTTTTCTCTTTATCCAAGCTCTATGATGAATTCTTGATTGGTAGTCCCATACTGGTTGTCACTACTGTTAATAGTTAGTTTCTACCTTGTAAAATTGTACCTTTGTAAAACCTTGTAAAACTCCTGTAAAATTTTTCGTTTTATAATTCATAATTGCTTTCTAGCAAGGAAACTTCAAAAGAGGTTGAAGTAAGAGTTTCATTAAATGCAGAACAATTTTTAAAAAGGTTTTGTACCAATATCCATGAATAGGTCGTGAGTATCACCATCATTGTCAAATTGCCAGACCCAAACCTGCTCCATTTCATCGAACCTAGAAGGATGCTGCAAACTTGTTGATGGAATCATGATGTCATCGAAGAAACCGAGCGTCACTGAAAAAATGAAGATGTTGATTTGAGTAAATTTATAAAATGAAAATTGGCAAAGAACAAAAAAGTTGGATCGATAGCAAGGTCCCATTTCCAATAATAGTGCATGATCTATTGGCAGACTTACTTTTACTTAGATTTACTGAGGCTGGAAAAGAAACTGAGGACAGTTTACAGAACAATTTAGCTCACCATGCCAATTCAGTGGTGAATCATAATAATTCAATGCGTTTAGGAAACTTGGGAAACTTGCTGGCATATGAATGCTATCACCCCAGGTGGAAATAGAACATGTAGCTAACAGGACCCAGCCTGTACTCCGGCTGCAGCTTTTAAATATACACATGTGAGGACTTATATGTAACAATAGCGAATGTTGAGTTTACACATGCGAGAAAATCGCGTTTGAAGTGTTCTAAGCTTGGCACTTTGCCGCCCGGAGAACCAAGAGGATTAGGTGCTATGAAGATTTGCATGAAGCAACTCTTCCTTTAACACACTTGTTTTACGATCTATGTGAGGGAAAAATTGAAGGAGTAACAGCCATTTGAAAAAAATGTGGCATTCGCTATTTTTTACTGAAAACGTTATTTTATGCATGAAGCAAAGTCTTCAGGAAGGGTAAGGCTAGTGAAACGATTGACTTGAACCAAAAGTATGTCAATGCTGAGTCATTTGATAAAATTGAACAAAAAACTGAACCGTCTGTAACTTCTCCTTAAAAATAAGGAACAAATTATACGATCAGTTAAAAACTCATCGATTCTGGCAAGACGGTCCCGATTCGGATCATTTGAGTGTCAGCTGCAGCCCATGGCTGGTGCGCAGGTAGTTATTGCAAGTGTGTTCGAATCTCCATGGTGTCCTGCCGCACCGGCCAGGGAGAACAATGGATTCTCATGTCCGCTGTTTTTACAAAAAACATGGTTTCCAGTTCATGTCACGCCGAAAAATTGCGCTGGAAGTCTGAAACTTTGCACAGGCATTTTTGAGGGCTCCAGAATTTGAAAAGAGCATATTCTCTAAAAATGGCGGATGTCAACAACCGGTATTGTTACATATAAGTCCTCATATAGGTCGTTTTATAGCACTACCTCGCGCTCTACAACTCCAAACCTCCACTGCTCTCTGTCGAACCACAAACCTTGGGGCATTGAGCATCTTAACATAGCTTTAAAATATAAGAGACTAAATACGCATTGACTTCTGATCCAAAGAGAGCACTGGGAGACTAATTTCAAGCTCATTGCCTATTGTTGGTCCCGGAGATCTTCCTCTAAAATGCTGTGACTTAATCATATTCCCTTCTGAGCCTTTAGGACATTGTGTTGCATAAGGAGCTAAGTATCACCAACAATGGCTGGGTGCGCACTGTGTCTCAAAGATAGCATGGTGGTATGTTTCATGGCAGTTGTCCAAAATAAATGTGTGCGATTAAATTCTTGTCACTTAGCCCATTATCAATGATAAGTTTACAGGTAAGTGTTTAACATAATACAGGAAATGCTTACCACAAACACCATCTTTGCTGCAACTCTTAATTTTACCAACAATTATTTCATCAATGAAAGGACGAAACACAATGAATCTGAATTCCACTTTTGTATGAGAGGCTCCATCACCAGGAAATATAAAGCTGTCTCCCATCTTCAGAATATCAAAAAGAGCAATACAGAGTCCAACATTAGTGATGACCTGAGATAAAAAAGAAGGAAAAATATTAATCACAATGAAAAAGAAGGAATAAAAGACAAAGAAAAAGAGGGATTTTAGTTCAGGATTCCGCTGCAGTTTTTGCTTGGTCTCCAAAATTCAAGATCATGAAATTTTGGCGTACTCACAAATTCAATAAGTCTTTATCCTCCCAGGAGGTATTCTGAGTAATTAGCTTAATAATAATCTGAGTTCCCAGGTGCGCTGTACACAAAGTCCATGCGCTCTCCTGCTCTCCAAGTTGCTATTAGTTACTGGGTCGCTCTGTGACGTCATGCATACTGACTGCTTAAGACAGGAAAGCATTTTTCCACATTCTTTTAGTCCGTGCACAGTCCGCACAGGTGTAGGGAAAGTCCATACGCCATGGATATATCCGCACGCTCGGCATCACTACTTAAAATACAGCTAACCTTCCTTCACCCTGACCTCAGAGTCCGATTATGTTGAAAAATTGGCACTTTTTTCCATTTGAACCCATGTGAGATACCTACACTTCATCGCTAATCCTGGCAATCTTATCCGAGCACATCCTTCAGGGTGATCTTCTGTTCAGTGGCTGACTCTCCATTAAAAGGTTCTTCCAATAATATTAGAAACTGAGGGAAGAGATTTCAAACTGTCCAAACCATGTTAAATGAAATCTTCTTTGGACCACGCTAAACAGGAAGGAACCAAGCCACATCAGCTACTGCCAAATGTAACTGGGCAATTAAATTTTTACCAGGAAAACGGTTCTGCGTATTTTCGTGCAAATTGCAGTGAAAATTCTCCACAGTTAGAAGCGAATTCCTTAAAAATTTCAAAGGAATCCGCACAAACTTTCTGTCATAAAAAATTGTATTGCCCAGTTAAATTTGGCAATGGCTGATGTGGCTTGGTTCCTTTCTGTTAAAGTCAGTCCATTTGAGGGTGATGGAGCATCAGCCCGTTTTTTCCCGGAAAGGGAATGCTTTTCGCATAAACTTACTACATAAATGATTCAGCCTTTGAAGTACAGCTCTAATACGATTGGTATTTACCATGAAATCCTGCAGAAAAATGCTGATGACTGCAGAGGTGGTGAAACCAGAAACGCAAGGGAAAGACGGCAACTTTACATTAGAGGGTTTATGCTGCCATCTCCGTATAAAAAGTTATAGTACAGGAAAAATTGAAGTTGCAAAACGCATATTGATAGTTCCCCTTAGGATTAATTTACCTTGTTGGCCAATTTCGAGTTTAGGTGTCCTGCAGTGGTTTCATCAAGTTTTTTGTTGAAAACTGCTGGAGGGGTGCGGACAACATCTTTCAACTCAACGATCACAAACATGTCTACAAAGTACAAAGAAGGAGGTCTCGACGGGGTGCACGAGAACACTAAGCTAAAGTTGAAACTATTAGTTCTTCATGATTAGCAAATATACCAACGCGAGGGCAATTCGTCCGAAATAAGAAAATGAAATGAGTATTCTATCGGCTTCACTGAAAGTTTCCCACGAGGATCGGTCGGTCAGATTTGTATACACATGGTTATTGGTTAGCCGCGCTTCCGAGAAGACAACATTCAACTATCATTGATGAGTAATGCTATGTTGTCGGTTCAAGGAAACAATACAAGTATTTCTAGGCTTTTTTACCAATTTTTTACCTATTTTAAATTTTAATTTGGCAGCAAGGCTCCATTTTTGATCCCGGTCTGCTACTACCCATCGCAAAAATATCTCAATTTCTCAATTTCCAGTCATCTGAACGATATTGTGATCTGAGTTTCGTTTAATTTAAGTATTTTCTCTTAGTTTCGCCCTCTATTCCACTGATTATCCGATTACTCTCCAGAACTGAATCACAGGTAAATGTCCTATTTCACTTTAGCTTTTTAACACTCTCAGACTTTTCTAATCTTGTGCCTTATGAGTTGTGTTTACTGGTTACATATAGCTCAAGGTTGAAGCCTAAGCATCTCACCACATGTTGGTTTTTTTAAATTTTCAAAATCTCCCTGTATGCTACACTTGAGCCTCTCCAATCCTTTTCTATTCCCTCCAGATGATTTTTTTGGAAGGATGCGCCATTGCTGCACTGTGTAAGTGACAGTGTTGATCTGACTCGCCACTGACAGTGGTCAACGAACGAAATCTTCCTTGACCCATTCATAGTGCGCCTTATGATTAAATCTTGATATCATTGTACTATTATCACCATGTAACTCTAGTTCAGACTGGCACGAAATCTGTCAACGTCCGAGCACTGTCATCTGTGCTCTCTTCAGATTTGTGAACCAGTGGAAGCTAACTATCTAGTTGGTGAATTCACTGTGTTTTTATCATGAGTCGTGCTTTTGAATCATCTGAATAGTTGTGATTGATGATTTGTTGTAAGCCCACCTCAAACCCACACGTTTTAGGGATGTTTTGTCTAATTTGGTGTGCTCATATTATCTCCATGAGAGATCTCCACCTGAATCTCTGATGATCAGTTTAAACAAATGTCATTCATTATCTGTTACACTTATGGTTCTACCGAGAGGTGTCGTCAACTACGTTGCCAGTTGTTTACCTTTAATAGTCACACGCAGCAGACTGAATCATGTCTCTGCGCATGGCAGCGCTGTTGCTAGTGATTGAGCCGCAGGCAATCCTCTATCGTTATTGGACACATGCAATGTGGTTGCTTTCAAATGGAAAGTAAGTAAGCTGCCATCAACATAGTTGACCACACCTTCAGAACAAATGGTCTGCGTTAATGTTCATTTTATCATGCTTTTTAAGAGGAGAAACTGTTAATGTAGATACATCAAATGATTTAAGTAGAAGTGTCCTCAGCTAAGTTGACCGTTGTTTACTTTCGGTCTGCAAGCATTTTCGCATCACTACTATCTACATGAAAATATCTGACTCTCGCAGAGATAAGAACACAAGCTTAGATAAGTTTTTTAAGACTTTCAAACTTTGTAACACTTTAATTTTTAGCTACACAGAAATCACAACCACATAAAAGATGCGTATCATAATTGACACTTTAGTAGGTTTATGACGACACGATCATGAGACAGATGTTTCCCAGGTGGTTAGTAACAAACATCGCTTTATGCAGAGGCCCAAAGTCGGTGGCGCTTGCAAACTGAAATTAAACTACCTTCAACTTAGCTGACGGCAACTCAATTGGTCTACTACATTCATAGAGAATATACAGAAGATTTTACGGAGCAGGGGTATGCACCTCTCCAAGCCACAGGAAGCAAATGCCGGTGGAGTGGGCATTGATAGGACTGGGTCATGTTGTTGTTTCACAATGTCTGCTTCCCAGCTGTAGCCACACTCCTTGGCTGATAAGCTGATGTATATTTCTGTGCTGCAACCAAATGTGAATGTGGCTCTTTGGCTTTTACTCAAACTCAGTATTTTTTCTATGGAGTGAGCTAAAAAGCTAACAACATCTGCTCCCATATCATCCATGAAATTGTAGAAATGCGTCTAACGATCAGCACTGTTACACAATTTCTATCATAAGTATTTCATTCTTCAAATGAAATAACATCCACTTCACCTCTGGAAAACATTTCCTTTTTTCTTCGCTGTTTAAAGAATAATCAGTAAAAATTTCAAGCAATAGTGTTGGTCTGGTCTCTTTTTGGTGAAACAAATTGAAAGCAGAGATTTTGAAATATTTCTACTTTAAGGAGATACGTACTCCTCTAGCCTCATTGTCGATATGTTGCCAGGGAAAAGTTGTTTAGTCACCGGCATTTGCTTTCTGAAATGGGTTTGATTGCATCGCAATGTTTCAATGCCTCAACTAACTAAGTATTTGTTTTTTTCGTCAGTGAGTTCATGTTATAAACAAGAAAGTTCAGGAAATGATCATCAAGTTGCAAAGATAACTCACAAAAATCTCTGGAAAATTGATGACCATTCTGAGTAATTAAATGGATTTACAGTTAAAATTTTGCAGTGCTGCGATGCAATTGAACTGCATTCAGCAGAAAGGAACCAAGCCACATCAGCCATCGCCAAATTAACTGGGCAATTTAATTGTGTGCAAGAGAATCAGTGTAACACACGCCGGCCAAACAGCAATTTGCCGGTAAGAAATCGCCTTTGGCCGCTAAGAAAATCGTTGTGTAACTCCGTTTTTGGGGCCATTCATCGGGGTATTCCTGACTCAGTGCATTCCGAAAAGGCAATTCCTCGTTTTGGCCCCTAAGAAATCTGAGATGGTTCCTAAGAAAAAAACTTGCAAGCCAGATGGCTGCTAAGACTTCATGCCGGGTTGAAACACTGAAGAGAACGTATGTGCCAATTACTTTGAAAATTTGAAGGAATTTGCTTTCTAATGTGCAACTTTACTGAAATTTGCTCAAAAATCCACACATCAGTTTTCATCGAAGAAATCAAATTGCCCAGTCAAATTTGGCAGTAACTGATGTGGCTTGGTGGTTCCTTTCTGCCTAATGTGGTCCAATTAAGCCTCTACATCTCTCACCCCCTCATTTTGTGATGCATTTTCTGCTCAATTTGGTGTCTGAGTTTTATGTTTTCATGTTATTTCTCCTTAAGTATCTCATTTTATTTGATGCAACTAGATCCTTTGAAGTTTTGAGATTAAGCACCAAGGTAAAGTACCCATGTCCAATGTGTTTAGCTGAGGCTGAATGAAGAAGGTGCCTAGTAGCCGCCATTTTTAACATCAAAGTGTCAGTTTGATATCGACACTTTATAGAATTGAAAAGTATTTATTTTAATGGTCAAATCTTTCAGTGTTGTACAGGGCCGGATTAAGGGGATGCCCACAAGGACCGCGGCCCATGGCGGCACATTTAGGGGGCGGCAAATTTTGCAATTTTTTTAAATGTAGGTATAAAAAAATCGGATTCAGAAAAAAAATTATCCATGAGAAAAGAGGACGAAATCTCTCTTTCCTGAAAGTATAGTAATTTCTAATTTTGTCGTTTTTCGGTGATACAAGAAATAGCATCTTTAATTAGTAGAGTGAAGAGAGGAACTAAACACGCAATTTGGCCTGGAGCTCAACGCAGAGAGGAATGATGACGAGGACTTGCGATGAAAAAGACAAGCCCTCGGCGCGACAATCGGCATGTAACACATATTAGCGCCTACACGACTGCATGAATACTTCACCCATTGCGCCAAACACAGTGCGGTCAGGAGCGCGAGCGGTTGGCGTGAAACGCATAGCGCCTACAAGACTGCAGGAATACTTCACGCATTGCGCCAATCGCAGTGCGATCAGCGCGGCGCAGCGGCGGAAGTTAACATTATGAAACCACATTTATGTTCGTTCTTTCATAATTTTTTTTTTGGTTCATTTCTTATAAATGGAGGACCTTAACTTTCGCGCAAAATTCCATTTCGTGAAATTTTGCTAGTAGTGTCGAAAGGGCTTCCGCAAAAAATGTATCCAACACGAGTAGGTAAACGTGTCTTGTGCACCCATTCCCCCCCGGCACGTTCACTTGATGGTTTTCATTGATGTTTCAAAACGAATGGGAAGGGGGCGGCAAAATACAGGCGGCCCATGGGCGGCAAGCAGGTAAATCCGGTTCTGGTGTTGTAAGCAATGAGATCGTTTTCATTGATGTTTCAAAACGAATGGGAAGGGGGCGGCAAAATACAGGCGGCCCATGGGCGGCAAGCAGGTAAATCCGGTTCTGGTGTTGTAAGCAATGAGATCGATCCAAGAGCAAACATGGAAGTAATCACCAATGGAGGTGAACTAAAGTGGAATAATTACTGCTTTTGTTCTGTACAAAATTTGCAGCCCCCCCCCCCTTTCCAAACCAAAGAGAAAGGAAAAAAAGGATATAAGAGTAATATTAGTGAGGTGTAGCCCTAGAAAGAGCCCCCCGTAGCCTGTGGAGCATAATAGGTATACATGAGGGCCTGCATCAGTCAATGGAGAGTAGCCCTGAAAGAGGCCCCCTTGGCCTGTGAGGTGAAAATTAACGTCCTATGACTGGCTGTACCTAGAGTCCCTTTATACCCAGAGTTAAGACAACTTGATTATCAGCTGACTGGCAGCCGTGGCATGGAGGCACAAACGAGTGCACCCAAACGAACGATATTGAGGGATAAGGATAAGGATAAGAAATCCTGCGATGTCTGTCATCCAAAAACAACAACATCAACAAAATTGATCAATTAGATAGAAAATGAGATTGGTTTGTGAATTATTTCCTAATCTATTTTCATTTTGGACCGATGGAAAAAAACAATATACTCTTGATAAACCATAATTAGGCAATATTTTCATTATTTTTGTTCAGATTCGAGTCACCGCCATCTTGGTGCACTCGTTTGTGACTCCATGAGCGAGAACCAATCAGAATTGGATTTTTTTCAGGCCTTTTCCAGCCCAACCAAAGGTGAGTTGTCGTAACTCTGGGTATAAAGGGACTCTAGCTGTACCGTCTGTCAATCATTAGGATGTTATAAAGTATTAGACCTATCTTCTATCTTCATCGATCGATCACTATGCAAGCAGAGACGAAGTCACAATATCCGCTTAGCTTCTATATTGTAGTGAGATTTTTTTTTTGCCCTTATTAATTAGTATTATTTACCACATGATGTCCGTTTTAAACAACTCGGTGACAAGCTAACTAAACTTATTGAATACAATCTTAGCACGAAGCCCGAACGACAGCTTACCTAGATCATCTACCCTCCTAGCGTATACTGCAATACAAATCTATTTTTCTCTCTTGAGAAGTTCACCGTCAATTTATTCAGGCCTCTCTCCTTTCTCCAAGCGTTTTCCTTCGATTTTCCCGACCGTCGCGGTCGCACCGTCGCACAGTGGATAGAGTCGATGAAAGGGGTCGGATATGAAATCTTTTACGGAAACTGCAAATTTTGACGTTTTGTTTCGTCACATTTTAAGTTTCAAAGGGTGTTTTCAGAAGGAAATTTCACGAGAAAACCAATGGAGCCACTTTTAGAACCTCGAAGTTTTATCTAAACGGAGTTATAAGGGTTTAAAGTTTCCAAATTTTGTCCAGCTTCTTCTATTGACTCGTTCCACTGTGCGTCGTCGTCTCGCTTCGTGTTTATTTTTATCGCTTTTCAATTTGAATTTAAAGTGTTCCTTTTCGTCCCTTCCTCTTTGCATAAGGTAAAACGCTTCCACGTCAATCATCATAGTTGATCTTGATAGAGAAAGCACAGCGATGCACCAATACCAACTATGAGTACATTTTTTCATTGTAAAATTGATGGGTCCGCGGTCCAACCCCCCAAAGATTTGTGTCACAGCCAGCCTGCGGGCTGACTATTGAAATTTATTGACGAAGAGATAGACATAGGGAGTATGAAGCAATCCTATAGGTTGAAATGGGTGGTTCCTGTAGATTAAGGGAGTACCTAAATGATAGACTAACGAAAGGGTCTTTCGTGGGTTGTCGCCAGTTAGTCTATTACCTACCTATTTTGTCCATTGCTATCACCCGCTTCTACCAATATGATCCCTCCATATCCCTTTTGTCATCTTTGTCTATAGCTTTGTCTATAAATTTCAATAATCGCCCCGCTGATGAGAATTATCAAGAGATGTTAAAGGAATGCAATTCTGCACAAAAATTGGAAGCACAACGCCATGGTTTTGGAGAAAAGGATCGAAAAATTAGGCTGCATTTACCGATAAGGAGCTTATTTTCAAGGCTCTTGACATAACCGAGCGAAGCGAAGTAAGTTACAGGATAGGCACATCAGGGCAAATTGGGAATTGTCAGGAAATTCAGACGCATCGGGAAAAACTTGAAAATGTCATAGGAAGTGATGAAAGTGTCCGGGAAAAATTTCTAGGAGCGGTAGCGACCCCGTCAAGCCTATAGAGATCTCCAACAACCGAGAATGGGAGCTGCTACTGTAGGTATCTTACACGAACCCGTTCAACTTTTTAGTATATTTACCCGTATTTGCTTTCTAGCTTGGGTTTGACGCAGCGAACGACGACTTTTGCTTGAAAACCATTTCAAATTTTGTCTTTTTAATTATCTTGCGTATACTTCAACTGTCAGGGAATTCCACTCGAATGTGTCAGGGAATTTCATTCTCTGAATTTTGTGGCAACGCTGCAATTATTATCCCAGTCTTTTTCTTTACGAAAAATTCATTTATGTATCACGATTTTCTGTCTGAAGTTCATTTCGTCATTTTCCATTCACCCTTTCAGAATCGGGCTTACCCGAGAGTATCCCGTATAATTGCCTCTTAACTCCCCAGTTAAAAGAGAAAAAACATTATAAACATATCAACGAAGTATAAACCAACTGAGATGCCTTTCCCAAAGATAAACCCGGCATTTGAATAATGCGCGGAGCGTATAACAATGGATGAGCAGTCAGAGTCGGGTTCGATCTCAACCTGCAACTATTTGAACTCCGCAGTGGGCCGGGTTGCATACGCTCGGTTTAGCGGGCGAAATCTGAGATCTGCTCACTGCTTTCGCGATCGGGTATAGAGTTCCTTTATGGGGAGAGTCAAGACAATGTGAATCCATTTCTGATTGGTTCCCGTATTTTAGGCCTTCACAGTGTCACAAACGGGAATAAAGATTACATTTCCACCGATTGCAAAGATTATAATCTGGAATGGACCAGGGAATTACGGGTTCGACAAAGAACAAACGGAATGAGAGAAGGAACGGAGAAAGAAATTTGAGAATGGGCCGATCAAAGATTACGAAAAACGTTCCATTTGTGTAATCTTTATTCCCGTTTGTAACTCTATGAGGGGGTGTTGTCTTCACTCTCATTGTCAGTGTAAAGGGGCTCTAATCGGGTACAGGCGCAGTCAGTGTTCATCTCAAGCGTGACGTCTATTTCGGTCAACTTTTTGGACGCTCTTATCGTTCAGATCTGTGACGCGATTCTAACGAACTAAGATGCTTTCCGGTAAACGAACGCGGCATTTTGAGAATGCACTGAGCGCATAACATTGCAAGAATATGCGAAGTTGGGTTTTGACACAACATGCTACTATACTCCGCGGTGGGTTTCTTGAATACCCTCGAGGAAAACGCCGATCGTATTTGTACGTGAAACCTATCGCGAGAGCCGTATATTGCGAGCGCGCGTAGGCCGTGGGCAGATCTTGGATTTCGCCCGCGAAACCTAGCGTATGCAACCCGGCCTACCGCAGAGTGAAAATAGTTGCTTGCTAGGTTTGAACCCAACGTTGTATATTCTTACATTGGTCTCTCCTTCATTGGGAGTTAGGAGAGCGCTCCGTTAACTACTACGATGTTGAAGAAAATGCTCAGATTTTATCAAATTCTCTCTATAACTAGAAAAATTATCTATAACTCGGGGAGAACCGCGTTTCAGAGTGTCTAGCATCAGGGTTTTCCCGATTCTACCAGGATTTGAGGTCATCTAGGATTTAATCCCGATTTCATCAGGATTTGAAGAAAAATCGGTCATGAAATCAGGATTTGAGGAAAAATCGGTTTTAAAATCAGGATTTGAAGAAAAATCGGTCATAAAATCAGGATTTGAGAAAAGTCGGCCGTCCGATCGGATTTTTTTATCGAGCCATTTTCTGTGAAGTTACATTCGCCTAATTTTTCCCCGCAAAAATCAGGATCTGGAAAAATTATGAAATCAGGATTTTAGCAGTCAAAAATCAGGAAGAATCAGAACTTCATAAAGCCGTGGATTGACGATCAAATTCCGAACCATTTCCGATCAAAGTAGACATTCTGATGGTTGATGGTCATCACCATCTACCATCAAATTTTGACGGGCCGCACTTATTCGTTCAAAGTAAGATCAGAACGGAGTGCCACCATTCATCATTTCCTGCCACAGGAAACATTTCTGCCAAGTTTTCATTTTAAAATGAAGCAAATCAATGAGTTTAAGACTGATGACTCCTGACACTTTGATGCTTCTTTGATCGGAATTGGTTCGGGGATTTGATCGTCTATCCAGGGCTTAAGGATTTCCCAAAATGAAAAGAAAACAGGCTCAGGTTTTTTATCGTTTTTTCTTTTTAATTTTTATTGTTTCCGACTGAAAATGACTCAGTTTTGAGTCGAAACGTCTCGGGTTTCATTAATTGTGTATTTTTAGCCTTGTTTCCCGTTATTTCATCCATGTTTTTCCACTGAAAAGAAAACTAGACACCCTGTTGGACAAGCCCATACAAGTTGCATGGAAGTTGCATTGGGAGCGGGGGCGGGGGGAAGGGGGTCGCGCCGTCGCGTGGCTGGGCGCGTGTCCCCGGTGCGTGGCGGGGGCGGGATTGGCGGGAAGGCCTCGGCGCCGGCGGTCGGGCGGCAGTGGTGGAGGCAGATGCCGGGAAATCGGTCGTCCCCGCGGTGCTGCGCCCGTGCGCGCCATTGTGTCGCGCTCGTCTGCTCCCACGTCGGGCTCCTCGTCCTCGTGGCCGGCTACCTCCTCCTCGGCGCCTTCGTCTTCGAGTTCCTCGAGTCGGAGCATGAGCTCGAGCAGAGGGAGAACATCAAGAAGTACCGCGACCAGTGCCTCAGGGAGCTCTGGACCATCACAGGTCAGACACCTCGTCTTTCTTACAACCAGGGGTGCAGAATGTTCCCGAACCAGCGACCAATCGGTCGCTCGACCAATGTGTAGGCTGTGAAAAAAGGGAAAAGTTGTGTAGGCTTTTTTTTTTTTTTTTTTTTTTTAAATAATTTGTTGAATTCTGGAGGAAGTTATTGTAGAAGTATTAAATTTTGGAGAAAATTACTGCGGAAATATCGAATTTGAAGAAAATTATTGCGACCGCGTAATGTAATAGTGTGTAGGCTAAATCTCTGGTCGCTCAAAATTGTGTAGGCCGAGGAACTTTCTGCACCCCTGCTTACAACCTCCGGATACCTCGTCCAAATCCGATGGGAATGAGAGGAAGTGTGTGTGCTAGTCATTACACGGAAAAATCGGCAGGGCAGGGTGTCTAGCACCAGGATTTTCCAGATTCTATCAGGACTTGAGGTCAATCAGGATTTAATCCCTATCTCCTCAGGATTTGAGGAAAAATCGATCGTAAATTCAGAATTTGAGGAAAAAATCGGTCGTAAAATTAGGATTTGAGAAAAGTCGGCCGTCCAATCGTATTTTTGTATCGAGTTATTTTTGTGGAGTTCTACACCGTGGTGTCTAGAATAAGGAAAACCGGGATTCATCAGGGAATGAAAATTTACAGGAAAAATCAGGGAATCTGTTCCAGAAACCGGGAATCTCTTCTTCTACCGCTTAGGGATCATTTCGTTTTCAAATTTGGCGGTCCAATCTGATCGAGCGCTATTTTTTACGTCTTGAATGACACATTTGAAACTTCAATTCATTAAAAGAATGGAAAAGCTAATGTAATGTAGCTAATGACCCGATAATGTAAACATCTGGAACGCTATCGGAATTAAAATCGATATTCATGAATGGAATTCTTGAGAGTTATATTTTTTCCCCCCAGAAAATCTCGGGGAAGTTGGAGAAAAGTACGGTTTCTCATCAGGGAATGAGCTCCTGTAAATCAGGGAAAAATAAGGGAATGAGTCCGGTCTAAAATTCTAGACACCATGTCCAAATCCGATGTGAATGAGAGGAAGTGTGTGTGCTAGTCATTACACGGAAAAAATCGGCAGGGCAGGGTGTCTAGCATCAGGATTTTCCAGATTCTATCAGGACTTGAGGTCAATCAGGATTTAATCCCTATCTCCTCAGGATTTGAGGAGAAATCGGTCGTAAAATCAGGGTTTGAGAAAAGTCGGCCGTTCGATCGGATTTTTGTATCGAGCTATTTTTGTGGAGTTACACTCGCCTTGCGTGAAGTCAGAATTGATCAAGATTTGGAAAAATTATGAAATCAGGATTCAGCAGTCAAAAATCAAGATTTCATCAGGATTTTCTAAAATGGAAAAAAAAAATAGACACCCTGCAGGGGTTACCTCCCGAAATTCATCGTTCCCCGGTAGAAGGAACATAACTTTATTCCAGGGCTGAAAAATTGACGGAAACCATTCGATTTTTCTCACGACCATACCCCTGCAATTTTTGTCCATGATGTGTCTGATTTTTTCTTGAAATCGAAAGAAAATTCAGTGAAATTTTAATTTAAAATTTTCCAAATTTCTTCCGGTTTAAATTAAAATTGTGAAGGGACATTTGGCAACATCGGAATATAGTTTCGTTCATTCGTGAGAGGAGCGACGAATTGTAATTACCTACCCAATTTGATGGATGTTACGGGAATTTCCAATTAAATTTGGCAGTATCGCAACTCAAGTCGGGGTAGTGCCGTAACATTTGGGGGTAGTGCCGCAACATTTGGGTTAGTAACCTAATTTATTGGAGGTACTACAACAATTAATCGGAATAGTCCGACTTGGGTCTCAACCCCTACCTCTTTTTTCCGTGTATTATTAAAATCGCAGGGTGTCTACAGGTCTGAATATTCGAGAATGAAGCTCTTGCAAGCGTCAGGGATTTGCTATCAAAGTACTTTTTCTTACGTAAAATTTTGCGAGAAATGCGATGGTGCCTCTGATTTTCTCTGGAATCAGCTCCCGAGCTCTTCCTAAAAAGTTTATGTTACCTCAAGAAATACGTGTTTAAAGTTTCTAAATTACATGGAGTCTGAAGACGAAAGGAAAGCTTAAAATCACTTTCTGACGTCTAAACATTGGGTTTAAAAGGTGAATTTGTCATAGTATTTGTTTTAAGATTAGTTTTTGTTAGAATTACTAATATCTCAATTTTTGTTCAAAAAAAAGCTAACGCGCGCATCGTCCTACAACTGCCTTATTCCAAGTTTCAAGATTTTCCAAATTTCCTGTATTTTTTTGTTGGTTTTTGAAAAAAAAATTGTGATAGTGATCATTTTAACTATAACTAGTCTTAAAATATATTCTGTGAAAAAGTCACCTCTTATATTCAATTTTTAGACATCGCAAAGGGAGTTTGAACTTTCCTTCTGTCTTAAGATTCCATGCAATTTAGAAAATGTGAACCCGTATTTATCGAAATAGCATAAACTTCACTCATGAAACTCGTCTTCCCAGTTCCTCAAATCAGAAAACAAATCACAATCAAACCGAGTTTCAGTGTGCTTTGGGGATAACGTTAAATTCTCCGAGCCACACTCTTACAATGAATAGGGAAATAAACAATGAATCCTTGCATTTTTAGTAGAAATTATGAAAATTCTGAATCGGAGAATTGAAAAATTTCGGAATGAAGAAAACGCAAATGACGCCAGGGAAAGTCGCGGAATCAAAGAATATGGAATTATGAACATTTTGAGAAATACGCATACCCTGTTAACACCTCTCTGCTGTGTTTGATAAGTCTCACCCCGTGTAATTGAAGAGTCAAGGCGAAACGGAGGGATTTAACCGGAATCGAGGCCATTCCATCCTGCTGAGGAAAATCGCCGCACTAACATTCAAAAGTTGCCAAATTTCCCGCGATAAAATATGAATCCCTGAGGCAAGTTGCGAATATTGTCTCTTGAAATTCTCAGACAATTGAGATATAATTGTGAGCTCAATCCTCAGAAGAATTCCGTACAAATTAATCGTAAGTCGCCTTGAAAAATAGTCTTTTATTCGAGGAAATTTGGCAACGACCGAAAGCGCATACTACGTTCTGCCCTAGGACGGGGAACTCGGCGTATGCGCTTCTCGCAGGGGTGTTTGTTTAGTCCTCCGCCTAATTAGAGCATTAATAAATGATTGATTCCGGAGGTGTCGGAGCTTGAGAGAGCCGCGGGGTTGCTAAGACGCGGCGCACAGTGGATCGAGTCACTTAGAGAGGTCGGACGTGAAAATTTTGACTAAAACTGCGAATTTTGATGTTTATTACGTCGTATTTTACAGTTCAAGGGGTATGTTACGAGGAAACCAATATAGGGTGTCCAGAATCAGGAAAAACCGGAAAGTACACTGAGAAAAAAACTTTGTGCGTGGGACCCGAAGTTTAGGTCATATGGATCTCTGAAGTTTTCGGATTGAGCATCGGAACACTTTAGGTCTAGCTGCCGAAGTTCAGGTCTGACATCTGAAACTTCAGTCTTACATCTGAAGTACTTCAGTTCTTACACCTGAAGTACTTCAGATGTGAGAACCGAAGTTTTTCGGATGTGAAAACCGAAGTACTTCAGATGTAAGAACTGAAGTTTCAGATGTGTCATCCGAACCTCGACAGCTAGACCTTAAGGGTTCAGATGCTCAATCTGAAAACTCCAGAGATCCATATGACCTAAACTTCGGGTCCCACGCACGAGATTATTTTCTCCGTGTATCAGGCATTTAGACCGACCAGGAAAATATCAGGAAAATCTGAAAAATCGGACGTTTTAATCAGGAATCCCTCTTACGCGAATCTCCTCAGCGGAGAAGTCTTACTGCTTTTTGCCTACCGTGCCAGGGGTCGTCGCGCCGTCTTTGTTTCCGATAATTTCTCACCAGTAGCGCTTGTGTCGTGTAGTGAAAGTCTCATCGCAGTGTCGCCGTCTTTGCGACGTTTAGTTTCCGCGTGCACCCATGCAATGAATATAGTTTTTTTGAGAAAAATCAGGAAAATATCAGGAATTTTCAAAATGAAAAAATCAGGAAAATATCAGCAGGACTTTCCAAAATTTAATAATATTAGACACCCTGCAATAGAACCACTTTTAAACCTCAAAATTTCGGATTAACGGAGTTATAAGCCTTTTAAAGTTTCCAAATTTGGTTCGACCCCTCCTACTGAGTCGATCCTCTGTGCGGCGCGGCGCAGCCAGGGGTTCGCAGAAAACGCCGGGCGCCCCGCTCTCCAGGTAAAAGCGTTTCCGGCTTGTTAGCCCCGATTTAATTAACGGCGGGCAGTTTCGTCGGATTTTAGCAGCGGTTAATTGTCCCGCTCCCCGATGANNNNCCCCCCTGCGCCCCCCCCCCTCCGGCAGCCGCCGTCCGGAAGCTACGAAAATCAAAGTTAAGGGGATCGAAGATCTTTCCCTCGCGCCGCGGTCGCTTTCTTCCGTCTTGCTCCGGTTTCGTCATGGACGGAGCAGGCAGGGTGTTTACTGGTCCGGAAAATCCGGAATCAGCACTGATTTTTTAGAGGCGGTCCGGAAGTATACTGAAGCTGTATGGAGATACCGTGAGAGGGCCGGAATTTTTAGTCTACTGCGTTCCGGAAAGTCCGGTATTAGCACTTATATTTTAGAGGCGGTCCGGAAGTATATACTGAAGCCGTATGGAGATACCGTGAGAAGGTCCGGAATTTTTAGTCTATTGGTCTGGAAACAGTGCTGATTTTTTAGAGGTGGTATACGGAAGCACTGACAAAGTCCGAAAATGCCGGAAGTAGGTCCGGAATTAGTCGCTTCATCCACGCGCAGAGATGGAAAGTTTTTTTTTAAAAGCGTAGATTCGAGAAAATAGTAACACGAATATGAACCAGACCTCTCGTTACTCATTCCTGAGGCAGGACAGCGAAGAGAGTTTCCCTTGTAAAGCTCCAAATCTGATTTTTCGACCCAAGTTGAGAAAAAATCTCAACTGAAAATCT